AATTGCTCCAAACTGTGGGTGGCCAACTCCTGGTCAGACTGACCGAAGGTCTCACGGAGGGCGTTCGCGAGAGCTTGAACTCCACTTGGGATTGCGTGCTGCAAGATGACATTCGGGTCCATGGGGTCTCGAACCTCGTCCGTGGACAGCCGAACAAGAGCACTGTCTCCCACATCGTAGGTTCCGTCAGGGCGAACCAGTTTGAGACCCATGGCAATCTTCTGGGCTCTTCCTTGGAGGCGTCCCGCAAGTAGAGGACCTACTTGTTCGTCAGGGCCTTGGTAGAGCCTGTACCAGAGGCGAAGTTTGTCAAAATAAGACTTCAAGCTGTAATCTGGAAGGTTCGGAGCCCAACCAGGTGGTACGTCGCGACGAAACTCAGCCAAAGGTATGCCAAGGAGCGGCTGGGCCATCGTGAACAGATCACGGGCAAAGTCCCGGTACGTGAAGGTGTCCTGAATCGGGTGGTCCTGCAGATTCAGGGAGATGTCAATGGTCAGCGTCTGATTCAGGAAGATGAAGTGCAGGTCAATCACCTCCAGGGTCGTGTACTCGGGGGCTTTCACGGGCGCAAAATTGGCTGCTTTCACAGGTGCCCTCGGAGCCGAAGAACAAATGCACAGGACCAAAATGGCCAAATTTGTGAGACAGCAAAAAAGGATCGTCGTCGTGGCGGCGACGAGAGCGAAGCAGCGCGGGCAGCGCAGCGGGCCCGGGATCGCGCCGGGCGGCGCCGAAGGCGCCAGGCGGCCAATGGCGAAAGCAGGAGCCCCGGACGGCCGGGGCTCCGCTACCAAAGTCGGTAGGACGGACTTTTGAACCAGCTCAAGAGCGCTCTGCGATCGTGAAAAAGGTGTCATGACAAAAAGTGACATTAGTGGAAATCTTTAAACTGGAATGTTCATAGATTTTGGCAAGAGTGCAATCCTTCACGAACATTACCCTTTAATCATCTTTAATTATCTTAGTAACAAAAGGACGCTATTAAGTGGAGGCCATCGCAAGTATGTTGGAGGCCATCGCTACTAGTGACAAGAAGCTACTAGTAGCTGTTTGCTACCAGTAGCGATGGCCTCCAACCCAATAGCGATGGCCTCCTTCTAGTAGCGTCCTTGCTACTAGGAATCACCTGGACAAATGAGAGTTGGTCCGGAACTCAGGCTTTGCGATGGAGTTTTCCTACTCAGCCAACCCTCCAATCTCATGATATCCCATTGTGAGGCGACAAAAAGAACCACTACAATGGGGCAGGTCATGTCCCTCTCCTGGTCATGTTGTGTCGTGTCAAACGCGTCGTTTACTCCTGTCATTCTAAACTCCAAGTCGATTGCGTTGGCATACACGAACTGGGATCACAAAAAGCTTTTGACGGTTTTTGAGCTCTACCGGAACCACATCCACCTGCCTGTGACCACGTAGAGCATTAGAAATGCCAACCCAGCCAGCAGCAGATCAGCCGCACAGCGTCGAAGAAGGCGCATCACATCCATGGTGCGGGGACACCGATTGAACGGCAAAGCGGCTGAGACCTCTTCGGAAGAAACATGGGTGGTCAATGCCTTTTCCGAAGGATTGGGATTGGAATGGAAGATTTCATGCTGATTGTTCGTGCCTTCAGGCGAAAAGTCCTTCTGTTTGTCATGCCCTAATCATACTTGGCTCAGGAGTGTATCATGCATTTGACTATATATATATATATACATACTTGGCATGACTAGCTTGAAATAGCAAACATGCAACATGCAAAGCAACAAATATGTGGAAAGTACTAGGGCCTAACGGTTCTACCATGTTCTACCTCGCTACATCCTATTCACCAAAATGTTTTTTTGTGTCCTCTAAAGATGCAAATAATGGACAGCTCCCAGAGTGCCTACAAGATCATTGCAGGTCACCGATTCCGTCCGCTCATTGTCACGCGTGTTTATGGAGTCCATTGGGCAATGTGTTTGAGGCGTAGGAAAAGCATGTACCAGGAGTCAGGATCATTGCTTTTGCAATGACCCTCGTACTCCTCTTGACTGAAAACACTGCAACATGATCTCATCGAGTATCCCATTGGGTTTAGGATGACTAGAACAGAAACTAAACCAAGATCAAATGCAGCTCTAAGCCATGCTTCGCAACGCCAATAGAAGTGGCTTTGGTGTGTGCACTGGTGCAGTCCCACCAAATGTGGACCTATATATGATCATGCTGGCTGATGGTTGTGATTGATCCAAAGCCTTTTCTGAAAGGGATATATATATATAATTAATGATCTATAATGGTCACATACTAGCATCGATTTACGTGGCTCTGAGCACAGCAAAGCACCTTCAATGTGAGTCCAACGGGGGG